GAAGAGATTTTCTGTGTAAAATTGACTTTTCACTGAACATATTAAGTTTCTGTGTCTTTTCAAGATTTCCTCTTTAAACATTGCTTTATCTTCTTCCAAAAAATATTTAGCAGCATCACCACTATGCATAAACTTTCCAAGATAATATAAACCAGATCCCATCTCATCTTCTCATCTTGCTGTTTTCAAAGATCTTCAGTGCTATCAAGTACTGCTTTCATTCTTTCTGCCTCATACTGCCCTCTTGTACATGGATGAAACATATTTACATGTCAATAAACAGCAAAGTCATCCTTGCAAACACCAACATTTTTATTGAGGGAGAGTGAAAGGGAACTCTTGGGAGTACTGTGACTTGAGAGTGTCATTCAGCATACCTATACACACTCTGTATAACAGAGTATTAAATTAAGGAACCTCCTAGACAGATCATCGTTTTGTGTCTTCCCAGTTCCTTGCTCATTCTTCTGCACCTCCTGGTTTGAATCAATGTACTACTCTGACTGAATTGCTCTGAGACAATACAGTCTCATCAGCCAGCCTTGGTCTTCTTTCAAACCCAAAATCTGGAATTAGCCTTGGCTCCACCTTTTTCCTTATTGCTTTACACATTCACCTGGTGACCCACATACATTTGAGGTAACAAAAATGTTCTGTCCCATGCATGTCAAACTTAAAAATACTTCAAATTAAAAGATTAAAAGGTCTAAGTTAGATATTAAGAAAATTCTTTATGTTGGGGGTGGGGAGGCACTGGAGCAGGCTGCCCAGAGAAGCTGTGGCTGCCCTGTCCCTGGAAGAGCTCACAGCTAGGTTGGATGGGCTCTGAGCAGCCTGGTCTAGTGAAAGGGGTACCTGCTAATGGCAAGGGAGTTGGAATTGGATGATCTTTAAGGTTCCTTTCAACTCAAATCATTCTGGGATTCTATGATTCTCTAAACAGAGATGGAAATGGTAAGTTTACACCTCCTGGATTTTAACTATTGAGACTTATGTGATTAGATACATATGCAGACTGAAAATGTTTCTGTCGCTATTAGACAGAATCCTTAACTGTCCAATGATTAACCGTCTAATGATTTTATAAAGCAATACAGTTTTTTTAAAGTTTATATCCTACTACTGGAACAAACCAGTAAGCCTTTGTTATATTTCCGCAGTAAATCTTAATGCTATAGTTAGTTGAGCATCATTGCTATGTGTTTGCAGCACAAGGAAGGCAGCTGAATCATAATATTAAATTCTCAGTACCTTATCTAACTGGCAGAGAATATAAACACATATGCAGTTTACTCTGAGTAAACTCACATACTAACATACCTGCTGAAAATGCATTGACATACCATTATCAATGCAAAGGATATATCATATGAGACATATGTTTCCTTTTGGGGCTGCTTTGATATTTAAAGGATATTATTGTGCAATAAATATTGTGCTCATTAGCAATGGGATCAGAGAAGTGCCATAACCACCTACACACACATGTACTAGTTTTGGTTTACTAAAATGAACAGACCTAAATAGTTACAGGACAAATGTCTTGAACCATGCCCTGAAGCCCCAAATTCCCTAGTGCTGATGGCAGCCCCTAGGGGCAGGGCTTTGGTAAAACCCTCAGTTGTATACAAAATGCCAGCACATAGGTCAGATGTCAAAGCCAAGCCCTAGATTAGCCCAGATTGCTCTTTGACTCAGGAACTACAAGTATGTTTTACACCTCTTGAGGAAAAAGGATTTATTTGTGTCAGTCACCAATTAAGCAAGATGATAATTTGGGGCTTCTGCTCGTGTGCTATGTAAAGCAGAAGCTGTAACCACGCCCTTTGCTGTGCCCGCGAAATTAATTTTTACTGTAGTCGCCTGATGAGAAATCTCATTACACTCAGATACACTTGTGCAGGCAGCATGTGGGCAGAACGGAAAAGAGCAGAAAAGTTACATCCCCTGTGAAAGACCTGTGGGGTGATCTGTGATCACCCCACAGATCCCAAAGTGAGCATCAGGGTATGCTATGTTTTGGATTGGATGGAGAATGAATGTTGAAGTGGATCTTTCCAGTGTACCAGCTTACAGTGTTTGTTTCAGAGAAGCCTTGCCGTACATGAACCAGATGCCCGACAAATGTCTACATGAGAGAACATGTTCCACAAGCATGCCTGAACCCTTCAAGCGTTGTAGGCATTTTGGTCAGCTGCACAAGCCACCTGAAAACACACAGCAGAGACATTGTTCATGGACAAGTGCACCCCTTGCTGCCCAAAACCAGCTGGACAGCCAGGCCCAGAGAGTGGAGGTGAATGGAGTTACATCCAGCTCCTGGCCACTGACAAGGGCTGATCCCCAGGGCTCAGTGCTGGGGACAACCCTGTGTAAAGTCTTTATCTAGGAACTGGATGTGGGGATTAAGTGCACCCTGTGTCAGTTTGCAGATGACACTAAGTTGGGTAGCAGTGTTGATTGCTGGAAGGCTCTGCAGAGGGATCTGGACAGGCTGAATTGATGGGCTGAAGCCACGTTTATGAGGTTTAACAGAGGAAATGCCAGGTCCTGCACTTTGGTCACAACAACCCAAAGCGGTAGTACAGGCTTGGGGCAGAGAGGCTGTAAAGTGACCCAGCAGAAAAGGACCTGGGTGTGCTGGTCAGCAGAGGCTGAACATGAGCCAGCTGTGCCCAGGTGGCCAAAAAGGCCAATGATATCCTAGTCTGTATCAAAAATGGTGCGGCCAGCATGACCAAGAAAGAGATTGTCACCCTGTATTGAGCCCTGGTGAGGCCACCTCAAAATCTGGGCTAACTTTTTGGCCCCTCACTACAAGAAAGATGTTGAAGTGCTGAAGTGAGTCCAGAGAAGGTCAACAAAGGTGGGGAACAGTCTGTTGCTCAGGTCTGATGAGGAGCAGCTGAGGGAGCTCGGGATGTTCAGCCTGGAGAAAATGATAACCAGGGGGACACCTGATCACTCTTTGCAATAGCCTGAAAGGAGGCTGCAGTGAGGGGGTTAGCCTCTTTCTTGCAAGTAGAAAGCCTTAGGACAAGAGGAAATATCTCTAAACTGTGCCAGAGGAGGTTTCAGTTGGATATTACGAAAAATTCATTCATGAAAAGGGCTGTTACTGAACAGGCTATCCAGGGAAGTGATAGAATCACCAACTCTGGAGGTATTTAAAAGACATGTAGATGTGGTGCTTAAGGACATGGTTAAGTGCTGGGCTTGGCGGTGCTGGGTTAATGGTTGGACTTGATGATCCTAAACAATTCTAGGAGTCTGTGGCTATTGTCTCTACTACCTGCCAGCTGAGGCACAGTCTGAAGCCGAGGGGCTTGGCAGACATGCAGCGCACGTGCGTGGTGCAGAGCACACACTCCCTTGGGCACTGCACCTGAGCTCTGGGCTGCCTTTGCAATTGTCTGTGGAAGTGATATGCCATACACCCAGAACCACAGTGATGCTGGGTTTAAGCCTGAGCGTGCTTACATAAGCCACTGACAGCTTTCTGCTTGCAGTCCATTGGCATCCATTTCAACTTTTGTATGCTGGCAGCTGACAGGCCACAAAATTTCAGTGTGCTACAATTTACAAATTTTCTAGGGACTGCCGCAGCAACACCATTTGAAACAGGTCCTGAATACAAATGATTTTTTAGCACATAATGGCTTGGGAGAAATGTTTGTGTTTGATGAATTCCTTCCGCACTTTTGTTTGTTGTCCAAAGCCAGAGGTGTAAGCTGACAAGCAGTGCACCACCACAGTTAACACAAATGAACCCAAAAGTACTACAGGTGCCTCACAGGCTCCGGTAGTTTCTAGCACATTAAATACAGCAAATATGAAGGACTAACGACTCACTCCCAAAATCACAGAATCAGAGAACTGCTGAGGTTGGAAGGGACCACAAGGTTGTCATGTGGGTTGTCCTAGAGCACACAGCACGGATTGAGCCCAGATAGTTCTTCAGTATTTCCAGTAAAGGAGACTCTGCAGTCTCTCTGGACAATCTGTTCCAACGTGCAGTCACCTGCACAGCGAAGAAGTTTCTGCTTGGAATCAGGTGGACCATCCTGTGTATCAGTTTCGGCCTGTTGCCTCTTATCCTGTTTCTGGGCACCACCAGGCAGAGCCTGGTCCATCCTCCTGACACCTTCCCTTCAGATACTCATAGACATTGATGTGGTCCCATGTCAGTCATCCTTTCTCCAGGCTGAGCAGGCCCAGCTCTCTCTGCCTTTCCTCATAAGAGACATGCTCCAGTCCTTTTCTTGCCCTGTGCTGGACCCGCTCCGGGAGCCCCACATTTCCCTTATGCTGAGGAACCCAGAAATGGACAGATCACTCCAGATGAGTCTTCAGCAGGGCTCAGGAGCACCATCACCTCCCTACACCTGCTGGCAACACTCTTTGGAATGCAGCCCAGGATACCATTGCCCTTTCCCTCAAGGGCACACTGCTGGCTCAATCTCTCAAGCGTTTACTGCTTTTGGCTACTTCACCCACCCGTGGGAGCCTGCTGGGCCCACAGCCCGGCCGAAGCCGAAGGCTGTGCCCCTCTCCGGTACCGCACTTCCCGCTGGGCGAGGCCGGCCCGGCGGAGGGCACCGGGCTCCCCGCCGCTCATCAGAAGGGGCAGCACCCGCCCCAGACCCAGCCAGAGCGCCAGGACCGGAGCTCAGCCCCGGCGGGTTATCACTCCCGCCGTGATGGTGACGGCTTCTCCAGGATGGGTGGCCGATCCCTGGCATGCGTGACTGCTTCCTGGGATGGGTGATCGCTCCCTGGCATGGGTGGCTACTCCCCGGGCATGGACGAGCGCTCCTCAGGATGGATGACCCCTCCCTGGGATGGGTGGCCTCTCCTCTGGACGGGTGGCCTTTCCCCGGGATAGCTGGCCGCTTCCAGGGCCTGCTGGCCTTTCTCCGGGATGGATGGCCGCTCCCTGGGGCGGGCAGCCGCTGCCGGGAGCCCCCCGCCCCGGCGGGAGGAGCCGCCCTTCCCCGGCGCAGGCGCCGCAGCGCTCGGCCGGCGCCATGGCCCGCGGGGCGCTGCTCGGTGCCGTGGCCTGTCTGTGCTTCCTGGCCCCTGTGGCCGACGCCTTCAAGAGGAGGGGACCCAGCGTGACAGCCAAGGTGACTCTCGCCCGCCGCCGGGAAGCCTCGGTTCGGGTCGGGCGGGGCCCGCGGCCGGGAGGTCCCGCGGCCGTGGCGGCGTGCCGGGGCAGCCGGCTGGTCTCTGCCCTGGCCCGCTCCACAGCCGGCCCCGCGCCGCGCCCCGGGCACACAGGGCTTGGCCTAACGCCAGAGCTTCGCCGTCTTATTGGGTTTTCTTGGTTGGTTGGTTGGTTTTTAACCCCTTTGGGCATGCCTCCTTTCGGTAGGCGCTGGCACATCGCGGAGTTCCGGCCAGCAGAGCCTCCCTCTGGCTTGCAGAAATGTAAACTTTTAAATTCGTCACCCCTCCAGCGCTGCTGCAGCCTCTGCTGCTGCCAGGGCAGTTTGTGGCTGCTGGTGCCGCCAGGCTGCCCCGAGCGGCACGGGGTTTGACTGCTCTGGGGCTCGTCTGTGCCATGAGTTTTATTCATTCCTCCTCTCTGCTGAAACTCTGGAGAGGATCCAACGGGGCGCTACTGAGTGGGGAGGTTGGGTTAGATTGCAATGGCACTGCCCAGGAGATGGACTGTGGGCTGTGGGGCTGGCTGGCGGGATAGGGAGGCACCTAACTACTGCAGCATGACAGCATCTCTTTCCAAAAAGTGTTTGTTGGTGCAGGAGGTGGGATGTTTAGTCCAGCTTTGGAATTCTGTGTTTCAACCCCCAAGTGTTTTTCCCCCTGTAGTCAGGAGAGAGTGTGCCCATGCTGGGAAAGACACCTACACTCATGAAAGTGTGATCGGGAACAGCAGGGGCTGTTTGCTGAACTGCTTGCTCTAGCATGGCTTCAGTATACTAAGCCATGGACTGTGCATTTATCTCTGTGCTTCATTGCCTCTGTTGTCTGCAGCTGCTTACAGTTTCATTGCCATGGACTTCTAGACCACAGATTTGATTTTTTTTTTGGGGAGGAAGGGTAAATTTGACCATCAAATAATCTTCTGGGAATACATTCCTATTTAATTATGAATAAAGTACTTTCCTTCTTCATTTTTTTTGCCTGGGCCATAATGGTATGCTTTTCTCTGACTGCTGTGGCACCTAAAGAATTGCATTGCCAATTTTTTGTGTCCTAGGCAGTGGTAACTTTACAGAGCTCATCAAATCACACCAGTTTTCTCTCTTCCAGTTTAAGTAGCTTTCTATAACCTTTCTTCATATAAAAGATATTCCATACGTGTTGGGCATCTGTTCTGCCCATTTTTTAACATTTTTTTAGGTTGGTTTTATCATTCTGCAGTAGAGAGGCCAAAATTACATGCAGCACTCAGGGTGTGAACTCACAGTACAGATATAGCTATGCCCATCTCTTTACTATATCCATTTTAATTATTTCTAGTATTTCTATTTCTTTTCCTTCTCTGACCTTCACAAGCCCAAAGGCAAACCTTTCACTCAGGATGATTCCAGATGTATTTTGGCCCCCTTATTGTGGCTTTACACCATATACAGTAATTTTGCATTTATGAGGTTATTACATTAGCTGGTCTTTAAGAATCATGAGATCTTCCTTTCAAAGTCACTTTAGTTTCCTTAAATAATTGAATGCTCTTGTCCATTTTTTCAGGTAGATGTACAGCATCTTGTGTAAATTATATATGAATCTGTTTATGAGAACCAGCCACTCTTAGTGGTGTGTTCTTTTTTCATTTCAGTCTTGAAGTACTTAACTGCAGATTGTAAATACGATTAAATATTTATAAAAGTATTAATAAGACCGAAAATTTATAATATTTATTTTCTTTCAGAGTTTTTGGTGAAGAATTCGGCCAGATGTTTTTTGAGATATAAAAATACTGTATCAACCAGCTCACAAGAGTCTACATGCCCACTGAATTTCCAGGGAACCTGTGGAAATACACTCATGAGAACATGGCTTTTCTATGCAGAAATAGTGTCTAGGGCTACCAAATATTTCCATACTTGATTTTGTGGCTAAAATATGCAGAGACACGTTTTTAAAAGTACTGGGTTTGTTGCTTAGGCAAGCAGCAGTGCCACGTACGAAGCCTTGTGGCTGTGCTAGGCTTGCAGCGTATGGCGAACTTGTCTTCTTGTGCTGTCAACAAAGTGTGTGATGTTCATGCTCTGTGGGGTGATTGTTTGGTAGCCTTGGTCTTGTTACTTATATGTGCCCATGTATTTCAGGCAGTCCTACTAGAACAACATTTCCAGGCAAAATAGATAGCCAAAGGTTTTAGAAAATGTAGGAAGGCAATGGCCCTTACCTACATAACTCTGGCGGCACAATTCAGAGAGACTTGTTTATAGAACCGTTAAAAAGTTAGTGAGAGTGTGCTGTTAGTACTTTATGAGCCGCACATATAAGAAGCATGTTATTCAGTGCCAAGTGTCAAGGAAATGAATGAGGTGTATCAAAAGGAATTTTATTTCCTTTATAGCGCTTTTATAGTGTTAGCCAAAAGTTCAACAGTCAAAACCACATAGAAGATCAAGAAATGGTAGAAATGTTTAGTAGGAGAGCGTGAAAGAAGCATTCATGTTGGAGAGACTGTGGTCATTTATTATCATTATTGGACTAATTTCTTAGCATTACAGACAAGTAATACTTGGTTGAGTGCCACAAGGAACAGCAAATACCACATCATAGGAGTACACATTGCTGTTTCCTAGAAGTTGTAATAGCCTTTATGTAACTTTTTCAGAACTTCAAAATGCCTCATTTCCTGACAGCTGTTCCTATTTTCAGTAATTATTGGAACATCTTTGCACATTCAAATATGCATTCATAGATTCATTATAATGTCTTGTAAGTCATTTGTCTTTTTGAAGTTGCTTTTCAGTGACATACACATTGAAGATTTAGGCAATCAGCTGAATAATCTGGCCTGGTTATTTCTCTCCTAGTTTTGGATTCATGTTTAGGAAGGAAACTGCTTGGTTGAGCCAAAGGATTTTCTTCCCACTGTTTGTCAGTTCAATGGAATTTAGGCTTTTGTGTATACGCACTGATACCTTACACAGTGAAGATTATGAGTGGATAGCAAATGGTCATTTGTGGGGAGTGTCAGTACTATAGTTCCTTGTTATTTCCCCCATATGGGAATAGAATTGTTGTTCTTCCTTACTTACATATTTAATTTTTCCATTCAGCTTTAAAGGCTTACATGTTTGGGAAAAATCTTCTTGAACACTGTCTTCAAACTTGAGATACAGCAGTCTCACTGAGCCATTAAAAGTAGTAAGAATCAAAACATAGAATCACCATATCTCAAACAGTTTTCTGCATAACCTGATTTTGGTGGCTCTGAAAGGATTTCTCTGAAACAGCACCCTTAGGAATTGCAGGATACTATTACTACAGACCAGCTAGAAGTAATTTCTTACCACCTTACTCTTTGAAAAGCTTGGCTGTTTGCTGTGCTCACGTCTATATCACTTTTGTTCCCTTCACAAAAATATTCAGGTGTTCTTTGATGTGAAGATTGGAGACAAAGATGTTGGCAGAATTGTAATTGGATTGTTTGGAAAAGTTGTCCCAAAGACTGTGGAGAACTTCATTGCGTTGGCAACTGGAGAAGTACGTTTGTGGTTTTCTTCCGCTGTGTACTCAGGTTTGGCTTGGGAAAGCAGTGTGTGTTTAATGCTGTTTCAGTTGTGAATTGTCAGTCTTCATTCACTGGAGCCTGTGCACAGGTGCTGTCCCCAGGGATGTGCACTACTGTGTGTCTTCTCAGGTCCTTGGTTTGCAAGATGTAATTATGAGATGCTGGATATGAGCACCTCAATCTGTACCTGCCTTGCAGATCTAGCATGTGGAGTTACTGTGGTCAGATACAGACAATAAAGTCAAATAAAGACAATGGCTTTGATCACCTGAATAAATACCTTCTTTGTGGTAGTGCAGTTTAGATGTTTTTTACCTGCACCTTGGTTTAATGTGTTTCTAGACAGTATTATATCCGTTGGTGGTATATTCTGTGAAATCTAGCTGTTCACAACTTGTGTACTTCCTATGATTTTATATAGAACTGGATGTTACATTCATTTAAAGAATTATTTCATTTTCTTAGAGAGGATATGGATACAAAGGAAGTAAATTTCATCGTGTGATCAAAGACTTCATGATTCAAGGAGGAGACTTTACAGCTGGAGATGGATCAGGAGGTAACATACTTAGTATCTTCCAGGTTCCCTTTTCTTTGTTCAAGTGTCTGCTGAAAGTGTGGGCAAACCAGCATATTGCTTCATGGTTTCTGCTCAGATAAATGAAAAAACCCCAAACCAGCCCACATTTGGTTTAGAGCACCTAGTACTTTTCCAAGTGTCTTGTAGCCTAAGCTGCAGCTATTTGGATTATCTGATTTATAAGTATGTGTAGCTCTTCCTTTGTCCTCAATTTTTGCAGATAGCTCTTTTCTGTCTGTGACTTGTCCCCATTCAAGAAGCATGGCTTTGCGTGCTGGGCTGGAGCCACGTGACCAGCTGAGCTGCTCCTACAACTTACCGTCTCCAAAAGATGGATGTCTCCACCCTTCCCCTGCTCTGGCTTTGTGACAGCGCTCCTTCCCTGAGGCACTCACTGATTGCATGTATAGGTGAACCAATTCAAGTCATCCAGCAGAAGTCTAATCCGTGATGAAACAGTGAAAGCACGTAGAGGGAAGGCAGGTAGGGAAGGAGGAGGCTGTCCTCTCTGCCCTCAGCTCAGTCTGTTCTGAGGAACCTCTGAAATGTGCTGTGAGAAGGAATTTCTTAATAGGGAGAGAGAAGGAAACTAGATGAGGGTCATGCCCTCTCCCTGTTTTTCTCTTACTAAAACTGAAACCATAAACTTGCTGGTGCTGTGAGTCCTGGCTGTGTGTATCACTTCTTCCTCCTGAGCCTCCAGCAGAACAGTTCAGTACACTCAGGGGGCAATGCCAGCACAGCATCTCTTGCACTGCACTCACTCTGGCTGCAGATTTCTTCTCTTCCTTTAGATGCACATTCTTGACATGCTACAATTTGAACTGTCTGCATGAACTGTTAGTGATTTCCCTGCTGGGATAGAATGGAAACATTCATTCCTTGTCATAGCAGTCAGCAATGGGGATGACCATAATACCAAAGACATAGTTTTAGCATTAAAGGTAGGCAGCAATTATTTGCTTGCTGATGTTGTTTATTGGGATAGCATCTGGTGGTGTTGGAAAAAGTGTCCCCATTGTGCTAGGCACTGGACAAGCAAAGAGTGAGACAGACAGCCTTTTCTTTTCAGAGTGATGGTGGTTTAACCATGACTGATGTGTTTTTTCTCTGAACTATTTTAAAAACATCAGAATCTTAATGTAGTGGTTGTACACATACATACCAAATATTTTAGTCTAACTTCCATTTGGTCTTGTAAACATGCCTAAAGCAATTTCCTAGCATAAAGGAAAGGTTTAAATACTGAAATTGTCAAAAAACCATTATTTTGTGACAATTACATCTTATTGTTGGTAGCCATAAGTATTTACTTTAATTTGCTCAGCAGGATGAAGGTATATATTATTCAGTGGTGTCTGTAAACCAGACCTCTGAAGGTATTCAGCGTGCTTAAATTCAAGGGGTAAAGCATCATCAGCTTTGACTGTTCCTTCCTTATGTGTGGTGGTTTAGCTTACCTTTACACAAAAAATGATTTTAATTATGGAATTGCTGATGGTTTAACAGTGATGCTGCTGTGTTTTCTCAAACAATGAATCTTCAAGTCCTGAATTCATACTTCATTTTCCCCATTTTTGAACAAAAAGCAGCTTTTTTTTCTTATTTATTTTTTTAAAGTCTGCTTTCTTATTTTTTTGTCATAGGAAGAAGCATCTATGGAGAAAGATTTCCTGATGAGAACTTCAAGCTCAAACACTATGGAATTGGATGGGTTAGCATGGCTAATTCTGGGCCAGACACCAATGGATCCCAATTCTTCATCAGTGTGACAAAGCCTTCCTGGTTGGATGGAAAACACGTAGTATTTGGCAAAGTCCTTGATGGAATGGTAAGTTTAAAGTAGTGGTTGATCTGGACAAATTGTGCCCATTATACCCCTGTTACCCCTGTTCAGACACAGTTCATTATTCATCTAATATGTACATGGTAGGAAATGATTGTGAGGAGCTCCAGCTGGACAATTTAGAACTGAAATATCAGAAATGGAAACCTGTACCATGCCAAAAGGCTTCCGCTGCCCTTATTTCAGACTGCTAAGCACTGAAGTCAACACTTTGCAAATTACACCTTTGCAAATTACAAGTGAAGAGAGTTCAGTTCCTCCTTTCAGTAACACTGTTTTCTACAGGCTAAAATCAAATTTTGTAGTGCATGATAGTTATGGGTAACACTTTTCACCGTTAAGGGTTTTTAGAAACATGTGAATGTAAAGCAGGCAAACACATACTGATGAGAGGCCAAATGAAATTTTCAGCTAAAAATTATGTTTTCAAGTGATTATACTTTTATTAGTCTGGTTCTCCTTACAAATTACTCCTCTTTATTCTGTGTTTTGAAATTATTGGGGAAAACATGAGCTTCTGGAATTTGAGGAGTTTGAAAACTTCATCAGAATACTTGCCCCTCACTCCCATATTTGTACTGAATTCCATTTTCATGATCTACAGTAGTAGCTGTAAATTTTTGATAAGCTATTTAGACTTAAGTTTCAGTGTAGTCAGATTAATGGATAAATATAGAAAACAAGTTGTCAATATACGTAAATTAATTTTGTCCTTTAAAAATACTGGTACCACACTAAAAATCTGTATGTGTGTGTTATATGCTAAAGGTAAAAGCAGTAACCAGATTTCTGGAAGCACAGTTATGCTGTACAATTAGAAAAATAATCATGCTTGCCTTTGTGTGATCTCTGGATTCACTTTTTGCTCATAGGCCACAGATATAATCCCATATGTGCCAGCTTAATCAGCTGAATGTACATTTTTAGTTACCTCTTCAAAATGTTTTTGTTGGCTGGAGGATTTTCTAGGAAGGCAAACAGCCTTCCCTGTGCTTCTGTCAACTGTGTTTGATTTACAGAGTGGCACAACTGCTAATATAGAAAGAAAAGGATATGGGAAGTTGGCAGGGTAAAGGACTTTGTTCACAAACTGGTTAATAAGCAATGATGTTAGGTGCACTTTTTTATTTCTGTGGCACCAGACCTCAGCCACTGAGTTTCTTTGGCTAAACCAAACCTTTCTGTTTGTTCTTTTTTTTGTTTGACAGTCTGTGGTGCACTCGATAGAACTCCAGCAGACAGATGAACATGATCGGCCCCTTCAAGACTGTGTGATTGTGAACAGTGGCAAAATAGCTGTGAAGGAACCCTTTGTAGTTGAAGTTGGTGACTGGTGAGAGCAATAGTCAGAATGAAAAGTACAACTTATCTTTAATGCTGGTTTTTGACCAATCTCACTGATCCACCAAGTTTTCTCCTCAAAACAGCTGAGGTTACATTTAGGCAGTACTTATCATTTGCCACATACAGAAGGGATATGACTATTTCTATAATAACTTGTTGGAGCTGCAAGACATATCCCACCAAATTCTAGATCTTGCAGAAAAAGTCTTTAATGAAAAATTATAGCAGTAATTCCATTTTTCCAGGGTTTAAAATACATTAATTTTGTTCTGTTTGGAAATTTTAGCAATATTTGTTTTTGTCTTTTCAACTGAAAATATTTACTGTAACACTACCAGCAGTTCTAAAAACTTTAAAAAAAAGGTAAAATATAGAAGTGTTTTGAATAAATAAAGTTTGCTTTCAGATAAATACTTGAGAGCATTTTTTACTCCAGCCCCCAAACTTTTTTCTCACCTCAATTGATTCCACATTATATGCAGGGGGTATTGCTTTTCAGGAGATAAGGTTGTAAGGTTAGAGCAGAGATGGTAAATTTTCCTAATATACCTAATCTAAACATGTCAGTCCCTTCTGTCTTTCAGAAAACCACAGTATTGAGATACCATTCTGTGATCAAGAACAAGCAGCTTTTCTGTCTTATTATTAAATAAGGTAGTCTGTTAGAAACTGATTAAAACAGAAGAATTCTTGTTTTGGTCAATTTTGTAACAATTAATGTTACTTATTTTAAAGCTCAAACACTTTTTCTTTATGTTTTGCTGTAAGTTTGAGAATTTTGGGTTCATTTTTTTGGTGATGCTTCATAAATAAATAACTCTTGAGCTTACAACTGGTAGCTTTCAGAGGAGGTCAGTGTAGGGTAACACTTAAGAGACACCTATGTTAAGTTCAGTGCAGATATGTGGATTTTTTTGTTTTGAGTTGACTGTTTTAGGACTCAAGGTGGAAGAGGCAGTGCCAAGATCTGATGAAGGGCTCATCCACCTGTAACACAGGCAGGCAGCACACTACTCCTCTTTGAAGTGACTCATTTCCTGAAGGGTGTCCTGAAGGAGCTCTGAGGTGTATCCAGAGCCAAAGTGATTCAGGGCAGAAGAGACTGCTACAGCACAGAGCTTGTATGTACCTACTGGCATTCCACTCAAACGGAAACAGGAAAAAACTGTTAGCAGGGATTTACCCTAGGTTCTCCTGAAATATCATTTGCTGTTAGAGGATGCTCCTGCTGGTTCTTCATCCACAGCCCTGGGGCCTCTCCTGAAGGTAAATACTGACACTCCTTTTCAGAGACCTGTGAAAGGATTACTGTCCTCTGCAAACAGAACTGGAGGAGAACTTGGCAAGGGCCTCTAAATTTGTCTAGGGCTAGGCAATCAGATTTCCATTTTGCCTCTGATCACTTTTCTTTCTAATAGCTGTTTAAAGTAAAATTCTCTGAAAAGCAGCTCTGGGAGCAGGGTTAGCAAGCAGGAGTGAGAATGCCTCAGTCTGCCAGCAGCTGAAAGCTCTCCTGGAGGCTGAGCTTACAGACCTCATAAAGATACGATACCTGAGCAAGTGCTGCAGTCACAGGCCTACCTTGTTTTGAAGTCCCGGCTTTCCACTCTCCCCAGATGGCTTCCAAACACATTTACCATTTAGAGCAACCTGTGTGTCTCCAGGATCTGACTTATGTTTGTGCCCAGCTTTGCCATTGCTGGTTTTGTGTTATGCTCCCTTCTGATGATGAGCCCAGTGACTTCCTCTGTGTTCTATTAACCTTAATTTTTTTCACCAAGACATACGGTTCTGTAAGGCTACCATGTTCAGCTAAGGCTTTAAATGAGCAGACACACAGGTATTTTCTCACACTTCATGGGAAGACAGACATCTGACACCCATCTCAGAGAACAGAATCTCAGAAAAATTTCTATAGAAAAATTTCACAAAAAAACCACTGAAGTGGTACATTCATGTCTAGTAATTTATTTTATAATGTCCAGCAGCACACATACAAATTTCCAGTTAAATCTGAACATACATATATATGTATCAGTTTTAGTTTGATCATAATCTTAATAATATTCTTGCTTTAGTTTACCACAGAGTTGTATGTTCTGTGACTTATAAAATGTTAATATATGGAATACAGTCAGCAAGTTGGTGTGGAAAGTAAACAAACACACAAGTTAGATGTCATAACTGAATGGAAATGTGCAAAAGCCATAGAGAAGCTCCTGGTAAGTCAAATAATTTAAACTGAAATCTAGAAAATTTCCTCAGAGAGTGCTGTGTATTCCAGAATGTGAAAGCATGTTTCCAATTTTGCACACACTCTCTTCAGCACTTCTAATCCATCCAGAGCCAGCAATGGGTAATGTACTGGGAAAAATCCTGGTGCAAAATGGTTTAGTGTTTGCTTTAAGAGAAATTATAGACATAATTAGTAAAACTTTTCTCTTCAAAGGTTAGCATAATTCAGTGTATGACTTGGAACATTTAGTGTTAAACAGAGCATGTCAATATATAGAAAGTATAAATAACTTCAATACTGTTGTTTCCATATCTTTTTTAAAAGCAGCAACTGTAATGACAGTGATTTTATTTAAAAAGTCATAATGCTTGAACTTAATCTCAGGTTGTGCCTCTTGCTTCTGAGCATAATTTTCACATCACAGAATTTTATTCCTGTTAATTCTATTAACCATGACTTCAGCTTCTTCTTGCCTCGTATTACTTCTACCTGGGCAGTAAGTGAGGATAAAATATTCCATGTAGAATGCCATCTATAACTACATTTGGAAAGTCATCTGAAAAAAAAGAGAAAAAAAAGAAAGAAACTTACTTTCTTATCCATGTCAGTACAATATAAATGTTTTTGTGAAACTTAACTAGGTAAGGCCTTATTTGCTTTGGGTTACTGCATCACTCAACTGTTTAGCCATGTTGAGGATGTGCTATTAGTAATGCTGTTTCAGCACTAAAGCCACTTTAGGGTAGCAGTGGGCATTGCATGAATGCGCTGCCAGATTTGTAGCTTATTGATTTAAAGGGATGTTCTAATACTTAAGGCTGCTAGGCTCCAGCTCTTTATCTGAATCTTTTCTCACAAGGAAGATGGATTACACTGGCAATTCAGTTTCTAACAAAATCTCAATATACTTGAAGAAATTTCTAGATTACTACTGGGAATACTTCAAAACTGTTTTTTGTATTGTGGTTTACAGCGATGTTTAGACTGAGAAGGCTTGAGGATGCCTGTACAAAAATGATTATTTGAGGGAAGAAATTTTCAGGTTGTCCAATCAACATAAAATGTCATGTTACAAAATGTCATCCTACAGTACTTGAAGGAAAAAATTCCCACTACTTTGTTGTCACAGCTGCAGCGGAAACTGCCAGTTAATTTTCACGTTCCATTTGGCATGAAAGAATTGCCTGATAGAACACAATAATAGATCCATGTATATGGATATACACTGTCGAATTAAAAATATTTTTGAAATGTACCATCATCTGAGATTTTAATGAAGGGTCTATTTAAATCACCAGACAGTAAAACTAAGAATTTCTGATCACATCTTACAACCTTAAAATTGTTAGTATACTAGAAATGGATTTCCTGCTAAGAGTAGACGGTTCCTGATGTGGAACTTTCCACATGAAACGAAGCTTCAACTATCAGCCTACAGGTATTCACAAAGGGAAGATGCAGCTTTTATAAAAATCATTAGTATGTGATGAATTAGATCATCTAATGTGGGTGCGAATTAGGGTTTGCCCCTAACTCTTTCACATAAATAATTTTGGAATTAAAAATACTGAGCAAAGGTAGATTTGGACCCTATAAAAGCAATCCTTATTGTCTTAAATGTGTTATTTCTTTGTTATTAATAAAGTGATTTCAGAATATTACAGATATTATGAACATAGATACTTTGTTTTTATGAATGGTAACCTCCCCTGTTAACAAGGTATGCATAATTCTACCCCGCTTCTCATAGTGAGTCATAATTATAAATGACTTGCTGATATTTTGAATCCTTTAGTGTTTCCTCAAATCCTGTAAGATCATCTTTCCCAAATTACCCTGGCAGAATAACCCTATGCAGCTGTCATTAATGTTACCAAAATACACTTGTAAAGGTGATCTGATGCTTTCCTTGTAGATTAAATGATACAGTTCCAGAAACCAGTTTTTATTGGTTCTTCTATAACATACAGATATAGGAAAATAAGGATTAATTTTCAAAATTATGCATCCTCACAACATTAGATTTAATGTGAGCCTTTTCTGCTTAAAAACCAAGCATATCAATTTAAGTTAAATGCAACTAAAGTATACATATATACATATATATAACTTAAGTATAAACACAACAAAGCACAGTCTTGCAGATCTGTGACCCCTGCATGGCTTAAAGAACCATCAGAACAATTTTCGAACAACTGACGGTAAATCTAAGATCCCACTTTTTTGGCTTCCAAAGTATCATCTCCAGTTTGAAGCACATTAGGTTTTTCCTTTATTTTTTTGAGAACATTAATTTTTTCTTTCTCCCTGTACCCTTACACAAAAAGTAATGCACACTTGGGCCCTCACACTGTTAAATACATCTTGAAAAAGGAAATCTGAAAATCAGTGAGGTTCGTAACTGTGCATCTTATTCCTGGAAAAACTGTCTTGCAATTCAACAGTGCTTAAAGCCCAGTCACTAGAGTAATGGCAAGATTGTATTTTATAATGACAAGTCACAATGCAATGACTTGTAGCGTAAAAATGTTTGAGTATTATATTCCAGAAATATTTTTTTATTTTGTTTAAAACTCACCCTATTTCCTACTTATTGAAATATGTTAACACAGGCATCCCTGTATCCAGGAAAGACTTCTGATTGAAATTCACCTTCTTCAAAGACAACATATAATAAATAGTTATTTGTTAACGGACACTTACTTTTGGTCGTAGGTTGAACAACCTTGGCTGTTTTTACAAAGGAATCAGAGTCTATCAAAGTAAGAACTAATCTGAGAGGGAAAATTTTAGAAAGCTCATCTATATTTTCTCTGTGCTGCAAACTAAAAGCAAAGAAGAAGAATTAAAGGCAATAGTAGTTTTGTAAAAACTTTGTTTCTTTCCAACTAGACATGAGTCAACTAGTAGAGGCTCTAGACTCAGGACTTGGTTTTCTTCTTCCTTTTTTAAACCACAACTCACATTCTAACTTGTATTTTAATTCATTTAGTTAAAGAATGACTTGCAGTGAATTTGATGTTTTAGGGCTTTCAAATACAAAGAATATTCACCTGCCATATAAAATTCTAAATACTGTGGATCAAGGTCAGAAAATGCCTTGGCAAGAATCTGAAATGTACTTTATATCATATGTCATTAATGAGGCCTCCTCAATATTTAAATATGTTACTCATTAGAATAGGGCTTTATCTTAATGCTTTTTTGCATTACTTCAAAAAACAGTTACAAAATTCATTGGAAAGTTCCTAATGATTTCACAAAAAGGAGCCTTACTCAGAGTACACATCATAGAAGGGAGATAAATACCATCACAGAACTGCAGAATCTTGAAGTCTTAGAGCAAAATGTTACATGTGGGCTGGAAATACTAAGCACCATCTCAGTTTTTTGGGATAACTGTATATGAAATCCATTTCCTCTCTTCAGAATGGTGTGGAGTTACATGATGTTCATAATTTATACCAGGCTCTTGAGGAATCAAGTATACAATTAGGAGGAGCATTAAACACTAAGATAAAGACATGCAATGTGGCTTAGTCGAAGAATTAGTATAGGCAGCATCTGGACCAAATTTTAAACAGGGGTTTCTCTGTGGGTGATTCTTCATTACTGTTGTCACTTGGGTCAGATGTGACCCTGTGCAGTGACCCCCTCCCCTTACCGTGCTTTGGTTCATTGATTTTGTGATCTGCACTTCAGCCTCAAATGAACATTCAGTCTGTGAAAGTAGACTAGTGCTAAGTCAAAGTAAAAGCTAAACAACCTTGTAATGTGTCTTCTGATGTGGACCTGAATCACACTGGACCTCTGTTGTCTGAGTTTCACTCTAGTTACATATTGGAGTTCATTGAGACTTTATAGGGTCAATAGTGTTTGGCCCCACTACTAGCTAGCATGGTCGCTGCCTGCAAGGGAGACTGCTTAACCCTCTCAAAGTATATGAGGTCATCCCTATGGTTTTGGTAAACAGCTTGAAAAAACAGCAGAACCACTGCAGCTGGGAGATGACTGGAGGTAATCTGGTCCAAATCCCTGTTCAAGAAGAGGCACCTGCAGACAATTGCCCGGGACCATGGCCACGCAGTTTCTGAGTGTCTCCAAAAGTGGAGATCCAGCACCACTCTGGACAGCCTGTGTCTGGGCTTGGGAAAATATTCCTTATGTTCTAGTCCTATCACTGGGCAACACAGAAAAGAGATTGGCTTTGTCTTCCTTATACTCTCCCCTCAAGGATTTAGAAACATCTTGGAAGTATGAAATATCAAGGAAGTACACTTCATTGTCTAGGGAAAGCAAAAAAGTTGTTATTTCCTAAATTTATTCTTAAAAATGTAATTCATTTTAAGGCAGTGTGATATTTCTACACAGTATATAGTAAAATGAAACAAAATGCCATATTAAAAAAATGTGCAGCTCAGGGAGAAAATTCTGTTTTGAAAGCATATTATATTTTTAAAATAAAATATTTATTAGAAATAACATGTTCAAACAAGTAAAATGACAAAGCTAAGAGGAACCCACTCTGAAAGTGGTACTTTTTTCCCTGCACGCATTGAATTTGAGACAGGGTAAATTCTCTGAATTATTAATTCAGAGAACTTTTTATATTAAAAAAAGAGTTCATAACAATTTCGAATGCTCCTTTGAATCACATAGGTCTAATGTAAGTGTCTTGTGAAATTAAGTACACTTTTTTCCCCCATAAAGAGCTCCAGAGATTATAAATGATAAGAAATAATAATCCAAATGGAAATACAAACATGCTTGCAGCTGTTGTTTAGGGCAAAAGCACTTACAAAGGACTGGGCCTCCAAGTTCAAGACCTTCAGGCAAAACAGCCAAAGGGTCAACAACAAGAAAAGAAAGGCAGTGTTCTTCTTTTGATTTGAATTCTCAGTAGGTTTGTCTGAGGGAACAACTGGGGGGAAAATTTCACCTTTTTACAAATCACCCACCCCACTTAGTGTTTTAATGGTTTGTTACACAAGAACTATCGTTTTATTGGCAGGTTATTAGATTTTGGACCAGTGTCATTTGACTAGGCCAGTATTAATAATAATAATAATAATGTGGTTTATGCAGTGCAGGGTCAGATCAGTGAAGTGCTGTTAGCAGATGACAGGTTTGATTACCGTTGGCTTTAGGCAAGACATATGGATCCCTTAGGAACAGCAGCACAGGCTGGTGGGACAGTTTGCTGGAAAGGTCAAGAACAGGGATGTCAGTATCAAGGGACAGCACGCAGACTGTTCTACAAACTAGCTTTGATAAAGTGAGGTGGTTGAGCTGCCAGGAGCCATGCAGTGTGGTTCCACACACCAGCGCTGCCCAGAAGGGCAGGCTCCATCTCCGGGAAGCAAAGCTCGCTGTTCCTCAGCCAGCACTGATACCCTCAGTGTCAAGCTGGAGTAAAGGGGCTGCATCCAGGAGAACTGGCTTGGAGCTCTGAGACTTCCTGATGCTGCTCTGCTCCCTGGCGCGTGGTGTCATGCAGGCTACAATACCACCTACAGCCCGGCTCCATAGGCTCTCCAGGCCACCAAGCTGACTCAAAATGCCACCGTGTTCTTACAGCCCCCAACGCAGTTGCTGTATCCATCACTTGTGGACAGAAGCCCTTGGAAGCCCCCCAGGCCTGACTCTCACCCTTAGCCACAGCACAGACAGCCTCCCCCAGCCCTCTCCACTCTGCTCTGTGCATGTACGTTCCAAGTAGTGCCACCAGATGCAGATGAATCTATCAAATGCATGGGGAAGAACCCAGATCTCTAATTCCTTCTGCTAAATCTTGCTACAAAAAATACATTCCCAGATATATTTCAGAGCTGGCACTGTTCTGTCAGTTTTGTAAAGAATTTCTCAACACTAGCATAAGGATGTTCAAGCCACACTAAAAATGGATAGATATAGCACAGCTGATGGTAATATTTAAAAAATACAATTTTAATGCTAAACTACTTCTAATTTGTTAACTGCAAGGAACAAATAAAGTAAATGGCAATAATTAAAGTAGTTTATTAATCAGGTGCCCTATAAAAAGTAAAAATCAACTCACCTTGATTCTTCAGATTCTGTTTCATCAAAAGAGCTGCAATAAAGTGACAGGAAGCTTTGGTTACAACAAAATTAATTTTACAATTAAAACCTCCAAATCCTTTAAGAATCACCAAAGGGAGCAATTTGCTGGTCAGTGGCCACATAATGCCACATAAGAAAATATACATGGGAGATTGTTTCATTTTATAACCACCACTATTTGAAAATGACAGCACCCGTTTTACTGTTAGAGATGAATTTCCATCAATCTATCTGTGAAGTGCTGAGGTGTAGTTCCACTGAGGATACTGGCTGATGTCATTAACTGCAAGTGAAAACTACAAGCCTGATAGCTTCTGAGTCACTCTGGACACTGCCCTGTGCCATAGAAACTTCCAAGGATAAAAGGGCCTCAAAATTATCTTCAGGTAAATTTGCCTTTTCACTACTATGGATCCAAACAGCCTGCCCCAAAGTGGAAAAGGGCCGTGTGGCTTTCTGGGGAGCAGAATGGTAATGCTTCTGAACTGTCAACCACATCATCTTACATAGTAAAAGAAATTCTGCCTACAAAGCTCACAGCTGCAGATGGTAACAGAGCTTCCAGTTATACTGGTTTGGGTATTTCTGTAGCCCTTAAATTCGTCATCCCAAGATTCCCTTCTGCCACTGGCTAGGAACCCCTCCCAGGGATGGGCAATCGGGTCGCTGGGGTAATGTCATCAGAAAGGTGAAAAAACCTCATTTTTGAACACACAGAGTGAGCTCATAAAATTATCATGGAGTGATGCACTATTTTGTGCTGATACTATGATCATAAAACACATGCAAAGGCTTTCCATGCAATTTTACTAAGTGCTTATGAATATCTTACATTTCAGTAGATACTTCATGATCTACAAGAAAGTCATATTTTTCTCATCTAAGCTCTCCTTTGCTTTCCAAGAATATTACATTAAACTTCCCTTCTGTCGTGAACATGCTGGATTTATTTTACGACCTTTTGGGGATATATAAACATACTTAACATGAACCTATTGCCCATTTATTTTACAGTGTTAGAGTTGGCAGCAAGACCATTTTAAGTCAATGGAATTGCATCAGCACTGAGTGGATACGGGCCTTTTGGCCTCCATATATTTTTCAGTAAAGGAGAGCTTACCCACAGCTTTCTGCTTTTGGCAAGGTAGGTACATGACGAACGTTCAGAAAATCGAGAAATATCTTAGGGAGCTCTTCATTTTCTAAAATGACTGTCTGTAAAAAAAAAGGCACAACAGAAACCGAAGTTTAAAAAAATATTTTAGAGATTGCACAGTTCCATTCAAGCTACTAAAACAAAATTTCTCTTTTGCAATACTTTTCAGTTCTCCATTTTTACACCTATTTTGGAATGCCTAATTTTGATAGGAAAACCACAGTTCTCGATGAATCAGCTTATGCTACTACATTCTTTTTCACCTGCCATCACTGGTGCCAACCTATGTTCCTCTCAAGCAGAGATGTCTGATTCTGTAACTAAGTTACTGGCATGCTCATTTGTGAATAAAGTTCTGTTTATTTAAAATATAAAACAGCCTCAGCTTAGTGCTTTCATATTCACCTCACAGAAGACTACCATCTGGCTTGTGAGCAGAAGAAGTCTTCACTTTGTGCAGTTTTATTAATGCACGTCTTGGTAAATGACAACAAGGGAAACTCCCTGCTTGGCTTGACAGGTCAGCTTACAATACACTCCATCCGTATCTGCCCTACGGCTCTGAATGACAAAGCTCTGACCACGCAGCTGCTGGCCAGACTTGCCACATTCTTCCACAACCATGATACAACAGCCACATAATGCCCAGACTACATCCTCTGTTTTTTCCCTAGATGAGATGACCTATAGTTTTCACAAGGCAAAGAAAAACAGTTCATAAATTCAGCTGTCTCACCTGAAAGATAAAGCCCCTATTTCTTTACTGTTCATACTGACATGCATTCTGAAAACGTGTACTTCACAAGAAAAATTAAGCCATAAGCTTTCTTAAAGAGATTTCCTTCACAAAGGCCTGACCTGAAGTGAATGTATGTATGGAAGAAACTTTACTGGATTTAAAATTAAATTGACTCCTAGAAGCAAAGCTTTCCGTGTTCATCCTGCTCACTTTCCCACCCCATGATAGAAGAAATAAATATAGAGAAGAAACAAGTCTGGAAAGACACATTACTCTTACATTCAGAAGGTAACTTACTCCTGCATGTGTATTCTTTTACATTACAATATCACAAGGGAGATACTAGTATATAGAGGATAGCAGGATCATTAAAAAAAAGAAGGGTTGGAAGAGACATCTAGAAGTCATCTAGATTTTATAGCAGGTTTTATAGCAAATGGTTTGGTTATTTGTGTAAGAAAAACTTGCTCAATATTAAAATTACATAAGACGCAATGGACTTAAAAGCATTTAAAACCAGAACTATTTGAAAACTGGATATTTTTTTATTTTACATTTACAAGTCTGAATTCAGAGGCTATACTTTCTTAACAGCTGAGGCCATCACTAAAATGTTTGAATAAAAGTTCAGCAAAAAATGCAGCTTTTGAATTTTTCTGTTCTAGATTTTAAGGGATATAACAAACAAGGAGGTCTAAGATGTTGGTAAGTGTTAAGCCTTTCAGTTCACCTTTATATGAAGATGCTGCATTAAAAATGCCACTCTGTTTGCATTCTGCAAAATCAGCACTCTCCTGCTGAAAAATTTATCCCGTTCTGCATTCACGTTATGCACAAAAGAAGGTGTGGAGGTAGATGCATATTCAGAGAGTGTGTGAATCGCATAGAAATGTGTATGGCTGGCTCAAATAAAATCATCTTGCTAATTTTATGCAATGAGGAACCGCAAAAAGTTGTAGAAAGATGTTTAAGGGCATCCAGTGCTTATGTGCAACTTCATACCTAAACTCTTGACAGCTTTTTCTAAAAGCTGAGCTGCCTGCTAAAGCTGCTGAATGGAGCAGGGAAGAACAGAAGGATACACCATTTTATAAAAGGAAAACTACTGACAGGTCTTACAAGCTTATTTGCTTCTACTTCCACTCACTTGAGAATATCTCATTCTATTTTGGTTTGGGTTTTTTTTTTTTTCCCCCACAATATGTAATGAGTCAACCCAAGCTCTGCTAATCTTGGCCTGACCACGTACCTTTCACAAAAAAACGTAAGCAAGTAGTATCCATTTTAGTCTGTTAAGCCATACAGTTTGTTAGTGGTCAATAACTCTGCTTGAGTGATCACTAAACTTGAAAATGTAGAATTTGAAGAGAAGCAAAGGCAATTTTGCACTGCATTGTATTTGTACACCACCTCTGCTGACTGGGAATATTGTAATTTCCAGAATTTTATAAACGAAGGAATGACTGCATTGACTAAAGGAGGATTTTGCAAGTGATGTAATATAATGTGTCATGGACTTTTAAGCATTAAAAATAAAAATATGAAGTTTACAAGTTAATTATACTAATAGGTGGCAAATTATCTTCTGGCTTGACTTTATTGGCTTTGATTCAACAAGAGGCAAGGACATAATCTTGCCATTTAAAATACACAGTGGAAACCAAAGGAAAGGAGAAAAAAAAAGCCTGATAACAACAACAACAACAAAAGAAAAGCCAACAAAAAAACACACAAACCCCAAATCCACCGAGCCAAGCAATACCAAAATAAAACCTCTAGAAGAACCAACCAGCCACAATGGATTAGGCATGTGCATACAGGAAAAAAAACCTGAAGCATTCTCAGCTTCCTATTTAAGTTAAAACAAATAACTCTTAAATCAGAAATGTTATTATAATTGGCTTAAGTTACCTGGAACAAGAGGGTTTTTACTTCTGTCTGAAAACCTGAAAGAAATCCATATTTTTGCAAACCTGACCATCTTTACATGATAGGTGTGCAGAAAAGGAACCAGCAGGTAAAATTCCTCAACCATTACCTACAATTTGTGATGTAATATGCTCAACTGCAGCATTTGTTCAAGTGAATATATGATACTGGCTTGTAGGCATGACTAGCTATCTTGTTTGCTCTGCCGTCAGAAACTGAAAGATAAATATTTTCAAAGAAATAAAAACTCACACTTAGTTCTTTGTAATGTGAATTTTTGTTGCATCCAAATTCTATCAAGATCATAGCAATGAATTTCAAATATGGGCCCCAGAGTGCTAAGTAAGCTAATTTAAGAAAAAATCCTCATGATTTGTATTTCCTTCCTAAACGAAATAAAACTCCCTCTTTCCCCAAAACTAAACATAATACAACCTCTAGCAAGTGATTTGGGAAGTGACTCCAGAAATACATTTTTCAAGTCATTGATTTCAGCTGAACTAAAAGTGCCATATTTTCTTAGAAAATTGTAAAGGGTATTTATCTCTTACTGTCACACTTTAATGAACTACTCTGTGCTTCAGGAGAAAAACCCACAACACAACACAAGGGAAAGTCTGATGTTTACATCAGTAGAAATGTCTTTTTCATCGGAAGGGTGCAATTACTATTATGTAAGACAAATCATAAAACCCCAGATTTTTCTACCTTATCAGTTTCATAAAATCATGTTCCCTAAGGATGTCATTGATTAGTCGCACATGTTCTTTCAGTGACATCTCAAATACTTAATTGTCGGTTATCTTTTCTCCTTCAGTAAGTAAAATACAGTCACAAAATTGCAAAGGGACTTGTTCTGCCTTAACCTTAGCTAGATGCCATCATGCAGTGGAAAACAGTGCTAAAATATCACAGGATAATGCTCTCCAACAAGGGGGACATATAAACAGCATAATGATTTCCCATGAGTTTCCTTTTTAGAAAATTGTCACTAAAGCCAGGGTAAATGGTGACATATCTTCACAGAGGACACTGTGAAATCGAACACTGGCATTCTAGTTAGGCCCAAACCTACTCATCAGCCAATTATAACAGTAACTGAACATCTCGCTGAAAACCTGAACAAGACCACTCTGCTAACCTTCAGAGATCATGCCACAGATATGCAGAATTTTCTATTATTATTATTATTATTATTATTATTATTATTATTATTATTATTATTATTATTATTATTATTATTATTGCTGGTTTTAATAAAGAAATATTTAAAAATCAATTTCTTACAGTCATCTATCACACTTTCTTGAGGTTGCTGGAAGAACTGTGGGAAAGGGAGAAAAGAGAGTGGGAGCTGAGTTACAGGGTTTTTACAGACTTTTCTATTCAGTCGGGTTTAGTTTGAAAGGCTGTACTGTTAGGGTGAAAAAGTTCATGACAGTTTTTCCTCTCTTCACAGGGAAAGATGCTTCACAATACCTAATTCAGTGGTGCAGCTAAAACGGGGGAAAAGAAAATCAATACATTCCAGCTACAGTAAGTAGGCTGGAGTGTCAGTCTCCACTGGGACCAAAATCCACATCTTTTAGAACATTTTAGAGTCTATATTCTTCTATTAACCTGCTTTTCCTGAACTGCTTTACACAGTCCCATGAAATGGTAAAAAGGTTATCAAAAGAACACATTAGCTAAAAACCAAGTAGACAAAGGAACCAGACTTGAATGATTAAGCTTTTCTTTTTAAAGTAATAGCAGATACAATAATGTTTATAATATCCATTGTGAAGAACTATGAAGAAACTCACTCCCTTGTTCAGTGAGGCTTGTTAAACGCTTATTAACTGGGATTTATTCTAAAAAGAATTTCCACTTTTCATTACTACCACAAGTATTCACATATGTAAGAACAGAACAAGGTTATCAAACGTGCTTTAAAACCTGTATAAAGTTTCAAGAAACATGCAAATACATGTACAACAACACAGAAGTGAGGCTCCATACTAACCATGAGCTAATTAACACTCCCACACTGTGCATCAAAGGGAAGTCAACAGTAAGAGTGACATCCATGCAGTGGAGCTTTGAAAGGGAAAAAATACTGACCATAGGGATTATAAGACAAAATCCATCCAATGAAGATCCAGAAGTTCCAACGGAACTATCTGAAATATAATGTAAAGTCACAAGACTTTACAGAAAGAAGGACAGAGGGGAATTGCATCTCTGAACCTCAAGACAGGAGGATACTTCCTGTGAGCTTAAAACTCCCCTTGTATCTCATGAGTGACAAATCCATCTATCACAGTAATCTCAAGCTATGCAAAGGATAAATTAGATGAAAGGGAAGCCAAATAGTTTAAAGGACTACTAGATTGTCAGTGGAAATATGTA